TTTCAATTTACCAAGCAAAATCCACGACGTCACGTGACCAGCTCCGACCAGGTTCTTTCCTCCACAAGAGAGAAGAGCCTGGGAACGAGGTTATGTAACGAATAGGATAACCTAACAAGGCGGGAAACAGGCAGAGGAGTTGTCAGAGAATCATTTTGCCAAGCACATTAACGTGATAACAGTTGATAGTGTAAACGAAATAGCAGGTACTGTATATACAGCCCAGAACATTCGAGTGAGTGTGCGCTAAATGCATCCTCGTTCCCAGGGCTTCTCGCCGCCTGCGCTGCCGTAAGCCCTGGGACAAGCTGAACCGGAACACCACAAATTCTGGTGTTTTCCGGAAGTAAACATGCTCTGCTGCAAGCTAAAAATGCACTAATTTTTACTGAGAAGTGGAGACGTGTTGGTGAGAAGAAAATATTGATTTTCCTTTTGTTTTGATGTATTTTCCACCATTAACCTAATGGAATTATACATATTGGGGTTTTATATTTCGTTATATCGTTAATACTCGTCAAAATACCACCATATTTCGGTCTCGTGTTGCATGTATCAATTTTCATGTATGATGTAAACATGATCGAGTCGAAATGTGCTCGAAGTGGTTGCTGTGATTCGAAACATCATGGGTTCTTGTACAGATGACCTGTTTAACATGCGCTTTTAAAGTCACTTCAAAGACTGGACAAAGCCAGACTGGAAATTAAAGAGAAGCAATACGAAGCTTTATCGTCCGTTGTAAAAAACAAGAACGACATGTGACATGTCTAAATGGCGGTGTGTCTGTTTACTGGGTAACAACGGCAATAACAATGAATCACCTAATATTTCAAGAAAATAGAAATTATAGATAGATGTCATGCATGATTCCATCAGTTTTGGAATTGAATTGATAGATTTAAATCTATATTATGTATACAAAATCATGCGTGCGTAAATTTGAGCAAAAAAGCACAAGGTTTGTTTGGCCATATGCCCATCATGTAGTATGAATATTGAAACCATTTTATATAGCACGTTTGAAACGTTATTTCCATGCCGGATAATCATGAATCCTTCACCGATTACATGTGTGGCATATGACGAAAAATAATTATGTAAAATAATAACTCGATCACTATGCTGCTTTATACATCTGACAGTCAAAACTATGTGCATGACTGTATGGCCCAATGTATGTTAATTGTTTCAGGGAAATTTTTGTTTTCAGATTACAGTATAACAGTATTTCGTGCCTTCCAATATATTTTCGACATGCTAGTGCGCCTTCTGTTCCAGATAGGAGCCAAATCATTTGAGGCCGAATGGGATACCCAATGGTTGGAGGGTAATGTTAGGAAATTTAACTCCCTTGATAATGTCAAGTTATCACTGGTCAGATTTTAAATTTCTTACAATTTAACATCAGGGAGTTCATCCCCCCTCCCCCCCATTATCCACAAGTGTGACTAAGATTTTTTGGGTATCTATCCAGGTGTCCAATCTAAATCTCCACCACAACAGGATGTATACCTGAGTGATAGTAAGGAAGGTGGGGTTAAAATTCTGATTTATCAATATATTACTACACATATCCGCATTAAAAATATGAAAAGTTTTCCTGTTCAATATATCTATAGAAGGAGGCTTATTAGACCAGAATTTCAAAATACAAAGCAACTTTCACGTCACTTTTGTAATGGTTTGTTTAAAATATTTTTTATACAGATGTGGTAGGGTGTCTCCTGGCTAGAAGCTTCCATATATACATATACAAATTTTCAGTTTTGTCAATAATAATAGTTTACTGATTTATAATTTCAATTCCTACAAGATTTGCAATAAGTTAACAGAATAAGTATTCTATTCTGAACTGTTGACAGGAAACAGTGTAAATTCATGATCTCAACCAATATGACAGAAGAATTTGAGACTCCACCTCGGGCATACCAGAGGCATTCACTTAATTTGGCCGGTGTCTGAAATTCAGTGAAGTCCCTGCAGCCAGGACAAAATGGCAAGGTAAATTTCTCCGGTCCTATCATCCCCAGGAATTCAATTGGAATTTTTACTTGAAATTTCCCAAACCCTTCCTTGACTGTTCTGTAAAAGCCTTTCCTAGCCGACTGCTTTATTTCCGCATTTATATGCTGTGACAGCAGATAAAATACTAAGTGACCCCACCTCCATGACCTCACTCAGTCCCTGACTTGGACACTGAAAGTAAGTGTCTTCCCTGTTCGCCACGAAATTATAAACCAGCGAATAAGAGGCGATTGTCCTTGCATTCCCCTCTGGTATGCCAAAGGTGCAGGGATTCAAATGACTGGTGCAATTGAATATGCTTATAAGCTTATTGACTGTATTTAATTAAAAGCTATTAAAATTACTCACTAATAATAAAACTGAGAAAATTCAGAAATAGTAAAATACACCTATAATATTGTATACGCTATAATTATAAATTCCAATTGGCCATTTTAATATAGGGTCGTTTATAGGTGGGTAATAGGCCAAGTGACCAATACCAAAATTCTGACTAGTTCTTCATGGCAAGATGAGTTACACGCTTGTGTCACGTAAATAGTCACCGGAAAACTATAAATCCATCAAATGTCGGGGCTTATCTCGAATGCTTAAATCGTTAATTGACTTCGAGTTATGCCTCCGGCGAAAAAGGCCGGGGGGGGGGTGGAAGGGGCTTAACTCGAAAAGGGCTTAACTCGAAAAATACCTACCCCATCATTCTGTTATCATTTACTATATTTTGTTTTGTATTACTTTTGTGGCTACCGAATTATGCGTTACCATGCAATAATAAAAGTTAAATTTGCTACTTATGCAGTGAATCTTACGGAGAAGCCATTCTTTGTTACAAGTATTGCAATATTAGTATTATTATTAATACACGACGAATTATACAATAAATGACAACAAAGTACAAGAGCGGAAGTGTGTGGGTTTAAGTGTCTCGACTGTAGCTAAATAAAAATCGTTCATCGTCGATAGTCATCGTCCAGGTTTTAGCACATGCCTGCCTGGCTATCAAGTCTATAAAGATTCGCAGCGAGTTCTTAGCGTTTGCAAAGTAATTAGGTATTATGCGATAGTTAAATATTATATACAAGCACAATAAAATCGGACTTACAAAATGCCAAAGTTGGCGAGTGATGACTTATTTAAATAATCTTTGAAGATTCTGTAACAAATTCATGTACAGTAGACAACGTCAACAGTATATGTGTTTGAGACAACACCTTAATTTGTCTTGATATGTATATTATTGAGTTCAAAACATCTCGTGATTTAAACGGCAGCCTCTCAACATCCTTATATTAAGGAGATAGTCAGATTAGCGTGACAATAGGCCTACCATCTTAACTATACCGTGCTGTGACTATTTTATATACATATATCAGATTGCCACAGCACGGTGGCTAAGATGATATTGTCACACTAGTGAGGCGTTTGCGTTTATTTAGGATTTCAAATATATCAGCTTGAAATTCCAAGTACCAATTTGAAATTCAAAATATAAACTAATATATCGCAACTTGGTTTCACACAAATTAATAACTGTTTCCGAATTAGTGACACATATAAGGCTGCGCTTAACCCTAGAGTATGTTAGGGTTTAACCTTGTGTTAGGGCTAAACCTAATATTAAACCTGAATTGTTATGAAACGTCTTTGACAGATTAAATAATTTTTGTTCAAGTATTGCACAATTATCTGTCTTGTTCTGTGAACTTTATGCTTATTGCGACATTTGCAATTGTTTGACAAGAATGGTTTCTATTAAACATGTCTGAAACATTTACTACTAACGGTAAAGCATTAAATTTCACATACGCAAATAAGTTAGGAAATAGTGAGACTTCTAAAAGTTCTTTATGTTTTCATTAAAAACTTGCATGCATGCGAATAAACATTATAAGGTTTGTAATAGTAAACTTATCAAAGTCGAGGATGGTTGCCTGATAATATTATTAAATATTTTAACTCTCACTCTTCAAAAGTCTATATAGTCCACAAAGATTGGCAGCGAGTTGTTGGCGTTCGAATGATGGGATTAGTTATGAGTTAGTTAAATAATACAGGCATAATGAAATTAGACTTACCAATGTCAAGGAATGGTGACAGATTATCAACTCTCAATCTTCAGAAATATAGTTAACTGGTCTAGTTGTTTGGCTATAAAGTCTACAAACTAGGGATCCAAGGATAGTGCAATGTTTCTGAAAGGACATTACGGTAATATCAAATTTTTCAATTGAAAAATTAAAGAAACATATCGTTCATATAGACATAGTATTTGCTGTGTTGGTGTAATGTACTCAGGTGAATAAGATGGTTGTGTGATGTTACTCTGAGTGTGGATATACACTCAGAGTAACATCACACAAGCATATTATTGTTCATAGTTTTGCAACTCAATTGTCGAAATGATGCGGTTTGCGAACTATAACGAGTGTACTTCATGATAACAGAACTACGAGATAGTGTTTAGATAATTTATTTAGTGACAAAGCTTAGTATGATTCTGGTATACTATATTGTCTTTCTTTAAGTAGCGATAATCAGTTGACATCAAAACCTACGAATTTACAGAGTATATAGATGTGCTTGCTTAAGTCAATGTTTTTTATGGTAGACAAAGACATTTGTGATGAAGCGGTTCGTATGTGAGTTGTCACATTGACTTCAGAGTTCTGTTTCCGTAAAAATCAGTCGCATCATTGTGGTTATTGATGTGAGAGCTTCTTGCCATTCAAAATTGTTTCAAACTCTCCTTTCTTCGGTCAGGTGTTGAATATAATCAGAAGTTTTCATTTAAGCCATTTTCTGGAGTTAAGATCAGGTATGTACGATTTTTCGATCGTGTTATAATTTTCTTATTTGATTATCGGTGACTGATAGTTGGCAATCCATGTATAACTGAAATACAGATGTCATCTGTAGTGCAGCAGTGTAATAGCCTTGTTTCCGCCAGCCAAACACAGTTTGTGGATTCTAAACTATAATTTCGTGGAAACTTGCTCATAGAATACAGATTTCTCTACTGTTGTGAGTGGTGGCTTTTTGATCTGAAATAAAAATGTACATTGACTAAGTTTAGTTGAGTCTTTATTGCAGGTTCTTACTGGATGGAGTGCCTAAGGACGGGTTCTTTCATATCTAATTGACCAATTTTAATATATGGGTAAAAATTTCTAATCAAGCGGGCGTATAAAGGTCTATAAACAAATCAACAGAAGACGATAGTTTCTGAAGAACGTCATGCATATGATGACGCATATAAACACATGACCTAAAATCTACGAAATAAATTTAATATACAATATATACCTTATTAGTTTTTCCTTTATATTGTAGGATCAAATAATCTTTAATGAATACCTCGATGGTTTTGATGTCACTATAAAATAATAAAAATTAAATCAAATCATGGCTGAGAAACAGAAACTCCTGAAAGAAAAAAATAAGGCAAAATGAATAGAATTACATAAACTTACCTTTTTGAAACCTTGAAGTCACGTTGTGGGAATCTTCTTTTGTCCCTGTCAGTGTCAAGCAAGGGCATCGGATCCCTCAAAATAGAGGGAGGACAATGTTCTTTTATGTTCTGTGAAAATTAATTGCCATCAGTAGTATTGCAATTCATCAATACTTTGATTTTTTTACTATTCTAACTAAAACCGTATATCAACTCTTCGTATGTTACAAAATTTATATTTTAAATGAGTGATACAAATATAGGCTTATGATCGCTAAAGTATGACTCCAAAACACCACTATTTTTTACTCTTTCAGAGATATTAGTGTAGATATGATCAATTTGTGTTTTATAGTCGGTTGTCACTTGGTTGATAAGCTGTACATACTGCTTTTCTTCGATTAAGTATTTACAAAGTGTATTTTTATCTGATGTATTTTCAGTTAGATTAACATTGAAGTCCCCAAGAATTATAACAGGAGTATCTGGGTCATTTAAAAAAGTAGAATGCAAATGTTTTAATGCATTTATGAAGCTTGAGATTTTCACCTTTGATGTAGAGCGATAAACTCCTACGATATGTAAATTGTTCACTGGTTGGTTAGCTTTTAGTAACGTCATTTCAACATTATTATAATTACACCTTAAAGGTTCTGAGATAAGTTGAACATTATTTTTTACGTAAACAGCAGTTCCATAAGGTATTCTTCCACCATGTGGCATAAAGTCGTTTCTAAATAGTTGAAAGCCATGAATCTCATATAATGCATTGTTATCGTTACTACATAGAGCAGTTTCTACAAAGATATTGATATCCGCTGCCTTTACATTGTAGTCAGTAGCAACATCAGCAACATGAAGATGTAACGATCTTACATTTTGAAATAGTATCTTAAATGTTTCACTTGTATCTTTATAAAGAAAAGGAATATGACTTTTTAGTGTTGCTGTTTGCCTTAATCTTTCCATTTCTTCTTGCACCTTTTTGCTCACAGCTATCTTATTTTCATTCATGTTCAGAATATGCAGTCCCGAGATGCTTGTAAGCCTGCTAAGTGCAACATAATGCATATGTTCTCGTTTAGATGATGGAAGGTCAACAACTGCATTAGTTAATGTATCTCCTTGACAACGATGAATAGTTTTAGCTGCAGATGGTCTTAAAGGAAATTGCCGGCGAAGAACTTGCATTTGGTGCCTTCTGAACTGTCTTGTGATCTCTAAAATTGGAACCCAATGTCTATTAATACTTTGGTTATAAAGATGAGAGTATTCTTTGCGATAATCATTTCCTATGTGTTCTTCTTGGAATAAAACCCAGATAATACTTGGTCTTGATGAACCTGGTACTCTGTAATCAACTTTCTTAATTATACATTCAGCTCCATTAGTCATACCATCAACGACTGACACGTTTGTCGTAAGATCGTACTTTGCATCTTTAAGTATAGAACAAACTGAGTACAATCCCATGGTTTTAGAAGGATCGTTCGGGATTTGCTTCTTAAGCCTTTCTTTTAACTCATCAGATAAATCTCCAAGTACAATATCAATTGCTTTTATCTCAACCTTCTCATTTGTAGATTTATGAAAAATGTCATGATTGTGTTGATTGACTGCCATGTTTGTACTAAATAGGTGAGTGAAATTAATTGGATAATGGGGATGTTGCGGACTAAGATTCAAAATTCTTTTTTTTAAAACTTCGATGTCAGCTTCAGTATGTTTCCCTTCTCTTATACGATTTAAGATTTCAGCAAAGTCTTTGTCTTCTCGTTGTCTCATTACTTCTGATAATTCAAACATTTGAAAATACCGTTGCCAGAGATTTGTCGCTAATGCCGTATAGCCATCATTTGAGTTCTCAAATATCCAATGATCAAAGACTGGTTTAAGTTGAAACAAATCGCCAACAGTTATTATACTAAGACCACCAAAAGGTTCTTTTGTTCCCATAATTTGTTGCAATCGTAAGTCAAGAAAATTAAACATGCCACTGCCTACCATTGATATCTCGTCAATAAACACAACTTTCATTCTCTGTAATTGAGATCTTATTGTATTCAATCTATCTCTATCAAGTGTGCAATAATTAAAACCTCTGTTTGCATGAATCTTAAAGGCAGAATGAAGTGTATTTCCTTTTATATTAAATGCAGCTTTGCCTGTTGGAGCAACTTTTACAACACTGACATTGTCAGGATCATTTTCTGGTTGAGCATTTAAGTATCTTATAAGAGCTTCATACAAAGCATTTGTAACAGTACTTTTGCCTACACCAGCTCCTCCGCTTAAAAACAGTCTTAATGGTAGCTTACCAGTTTTAACAGAGTTCAATACATGATAAAAAAACTCTTTTTGTTCGACATTAAGTGATTGCACAAGTTTTCTAAAATCAGCATCTTTCAATCTCTTCAGTACAAGTTCTTCGTCATCATTTGTTCTTGGATATATACCAATATCGTTAATTAAGTCGTATTCAGTATGTTGCTTATCTTTTCCTGGATCAAAGCATCCAAATAATTCACTCACTTTTGAACCAATGTCTTTATCTTGTTCATCTCGATATTGTGCATTTGGAGCAACAATGTTACCAAATTCCTCACTTTCAATATTTTGTACTGCTTGATCAAGAACTAATGTATGATTCTCGTATTGCTTTCTGTTTTGTTCGATGTCATCTTTGAGGACTTCAAACCGATCTTGGTAAGTCTGGAAGTCTTTCAAAAGATCTGTGGTTTCATTTCTCCAAGCAGTGTAAAGCATTATTTGTTCTCTACAGTAATTTTCTGTATCTTTGTTTTTATTAAATCTTACAGATCGTATTATTCTTGGTTTTTGTCTCTTCACTAGCATTATTCCTCCTTTCATTTCATATTCATCCTTCTCAGACGTTTGTTCCAGATCGGAAACATCATCATCTAAATTATCATATACAATATTCTCTGAAAGATAATCATCTGTGAAAGGTGAGTTTGTTTTAAGCTTTCCCTCCTCATTGTTGTCGCTTTTGCAGTTATACCACGCAACAAAATCTGCTAAACAGACGTTTTCCAGTTGCTTTGGTCGTCGCTGATACCTTTTAATGACGTTGTCTGACTCAATATCAATTGAATTATCAGGAAGTTCTTTAATTTTATCCATGCTTTTTAATAAAAATGTTCTTTCATCTGGATCAGATGTATTGATGAACTGGAATTCTCGAGATGATCTTCTCAAAGGCATCTGTAGAACTAAGTAAGCAGCTTCTTGCGCACTTATTTCAACAGCATTGAGAAATTTGTTACCAATATGTCTCACTTTGTTAACAATATTTTTATTGCCTTCTTTTGCTTCCTCACATGCCTTACGAAGTAGCTTGCTCATTCCCCTTTGACCTTTAGTAATATATGAAAGGATATAAACAGCACACGCATAAGGATCTAGTACAAATTGAATATCCATGTTGGCTTGCCAAGCTTTGAGTAAGTTTGGATTATAGCAGTTAATTCTTATCTCGGCTGGCGATCGTTTCAATAACAAAGTATTATGTTTAAGAGAAAGCCGTATAGACTTTATATATTGCTGTTCCGACAAATCTAACTTTTCAAGAAATTCATCAAAGGTCATAGTTTCATCTGCTTTAATAGTGTCTAGTAACGAACGTATTCGTCCTAAAGCTCCTTTTAATACATCTGCGATATTTTCATCCAGCTCAGTCTCAGATAAGGGTTGTAAAATCATAGTTCTTGGCATCGGTGGTAACGGAAAATTAAATCTGCAAATAGCACGACCTCTTTTTTTGCATGTTTTAGAGTGTCTATGCCTTTGTAAATTTACGAGATCGCTTAAATCAACTGAATCAGCTTTGCATGAAACATAGCTATGTACAAACTTGACAATATCTTCGTCAGAATCTTTACCATACTCAGGTGCATTTTTTATCCAAAATAATCCGTGGATATGTGGAGAACCTCTTTGC